AAAAAAAAAAAAAAGAGATCAGCCGCAATACTATAGACCAGTGGTGTCAAACTCAATTCCTGGAGAGCTGCAGCCCTGCAGAATTTTGCTTCAACCCTAATCAAACACACCTGAACAAGCTAATCAAGGCCTGAAGGGTTACTAGGAAGCTTCAGTCAGGTGAGTTTTTATTAGGGTTGGAGCTGAACTATGCAGGACTGCAGCTCTCCAGGACCGGATTTCGCCACTCCTGCTCTAGCACTATGTCAGCAAACTCACAATATTATATGTTAGATCAGTGGTTCCCAACCCTGGTCCTGGAGGCACCCCAACACTACACATTTTGCATATCTCTTTTCTCTGCCACACCAATTTCAGGTCTTGAAGTCTCTACTAATGAGCGGATGACCTGAATCAGGTGTGTTTTATTAAGCAGACATTCAAAACGTGCAGTGTTGGCGTGCCTCCAGGACCAGGGTTGGGAACCACTGTGTTAGATCAGGGATCCTCAAATCTGGCCCACGAGATCCACTTTCCTGCAGAGTTTAGCTCTAACATTAATCAAACACACCTGAGCATGCTAATCAATGTCTTCAGGATCATTAGAAAATCACAGGTAGGTGAGTTTGATCAGGGTTGGAGCTAAACTCTGCAGCGCATTGGCCCTCCAGGGCAAGATTTGAGGAACCCTGTGTTAGATTATCAAATGTTTACTCACCAGTGTATTAAGTTCTTCTGGTCTTCTGGCAATTAGCAGCACAAAAAGCCTGTCTAGTTTTGTCATTAGATGTCGAAGCTGGTGCGCATGTCTTGAAACTCATATGGCAAAAATAATGTTAAAGTTCCCTTAACCACTTTAAGCTTGTTTCATTATATGAATGAAATCATTAATTTCCAAATGTAGCTAAAGAAAAAAGAGAATGTGGGATAAAAGGAAAAAAATATATTTATAGGAATTAAAATAAAAAATACACTAACAAATAACATAACATTGGCAGGTAAAAGATATAATGTTTAAGTTTAAGTGTCACTGCTACATACTATTTACCACATTGTAAACGGAGACCCAGGCCCAGCACTCAACCTAAACTGGTCCGGGTCTGCATGCCCATATCTCAGCCAGAATCAGACAAGCACTTATGGTCCGTAATCAGGCCGAATGTGGCTAAATGTGCCGTGTCTCAGTGCAAATCGGGCCAGATCTGCACATCCAAAGCCTAGCTAAATCTGGCAACCATTACTGGGCCATAGCTGGCTCACTTTCGGTGAGCCGCTGCCAGAACACAGCTGATTAACTTTTGTAGCTTAAATTAAGATTAATCAATATAGTTTATGCATACAATTTATAGTTTATGTTAAGATTGTTTAAGTTTACTTAGATTCAATGTTTTTATTTTTACTGCTGAATATGCATTTAAATTTAATTTCTAATTTTATAGGCCCTCCAAAAAGAGATCGGGACGGCCCCCACCCCCTTGGCCCCCTTCAAATTTTCAATTCGATAATCCGGCCCTCAAATGAAGCTAATTGAATAGCCCTGTCCTGAACACAACCCTCACAGAAAGCAGTGCAAAACACTAGATTTTTATCGAAACACAATTTGACTGATTTATAAGCATTTCTAACTAGTGAGGTACAGCTCAGTGTTTTTATGTGAGAGACTGATCAGCATCATAAGAGTTTGATGTGAAAGTGACTCACATGCAGCAGTTTGCAGCAGCAGCAGCATCAGTCCAAAGATGAGCATCATTTCTCTAAAGTCCAGCAGAAGAGAGTCAGATCGAGTCTCACTGACAGACAGCAGCTCTACTGACACATCAGGAGATTACAAGACTGTTACATAGAAAGAAGAAAGAGGAAGTTTTTCAGAGATGGCCAATGTGGGTCAACAGCTCCTACTTAAATACATAAAACAGACGCTGTAAATGAAGTCAACCAAAACCAACAGAATAAAGTAAAAGAGCAGAAGCAGAAATCTGACAGATCTGATTCAGAGAAATAAAGGAGTTTGATTATGGATAAACAGAAGGGGTTTTATGTAATGATATAAAAATATTGCTGGTTCATTCAAAGCATAAGACAAATGAATAAAATTAGCAATAAACGGATTCATAAAACAAATCTGCTAAATCATTTATCATAGATGCGAGGATCTACTGCTGCTCTCATGAATCATGTCCTTCTCTAAATCTCTAATTTTCGCTTTCTGATCGTCCTGTTTCTTTCCTAAAAGCATCATCATATTCGCACTCTTTAATATTTGCATGCTTAAATCAGTTAATCTTTAATCTTTGCATGCAAATGCAATCAGCAGGAGGTTAATTGTGTTTGCATTATGGTAAATATTGTGTGCTGAGTGAATCAACATGCACTATATATAACATCATGTAGGCATCCGCAACCAGACCACAGTCTTTACCCTTTAACTGAACATATAAATATAACTCTTTACATAAAAACTGCATAAATAACCTTTAATTACAATATTTAATCTCTTGACCTGATTTAGTTAATACGACAGAAATTATTCACAAAATTGGGAAATGCAGAAATTTCAGAAGCTGTGACAAAATGTTAAATTTTAAGTGTGCTCCATTAATATACACGGTTAAGAAGAACAAATACGCTTGCAAACCTTTCTTACTGTACTATTTAAATATTGCAACACATATTTTCAGAAGAGCCCGTCTGACACTCATCTGTGCTGACAGAGTATTTATAAGACCAGAGCACTGTTTCTGTGAGAAAGGGAAGTTCAGATCATTCTCAGGTTGAGGTTGAAGGTCTTGTACAAGAACACAAAAATAACTAACACACATATGTGGTTTTCTATTGGTGGGGACCTTCCTGACCTTTTCTACAGTTTTACATTTTCATAAAGACCTTATTTAGTAATAAGCTGTTTTTGTCACCCTTTGGTTGCTTTTGTAACAGCCTAAACCTAAATCTAAAGATAAAATCTGTCACAATTTGCACGTCTTCTGTCAACTTTTACACAAGTCTGAAACCACGAGGTCTGACACAAAACCATAATGGACGATGTTCCCTGTTAACAACACTGAAAAACTGACCATCAGAAGTTTATCTATGATATCTGAAGTTTTTTGAATATTCCTCACATTAAACCACATAAACACAAATATGAGGGACAAAGTGACCTACGCTGTGAGTCAAACATACAAGAAAAACAGCTAAATAAAGCAGTTGTCATGAGGATATTTATAATGTCAGTGTGCATGTGTGGTTTGAAAGTGTATTAACAAGCTCTCACTGATTACTGCAGTTTGTAAGAACATTTTCTCCTGATAAAGAAGCTGAGTTTGTACTGAAATGATGAGACTGAGATCTGTCATTACTCAAGCTCATCACACGAGGTCTCCATCAGCACAGAGCTGTCAGTCTGTTTCCATAGTAACAGCAGCCTGTTTCAGCCTCAGCTTCATGTCTGACCTCAGTCTCCTGCAGTTCAAGAGAAATTTGACTGGGTTTCAGCAATCGGATCTTCAACGAGGGGATGCATAATCTGGCAGGGGTACAGATTTCGGCACAACACCGGGCCGGAGCACGCTCACGTCATATACGAGATAACGGAGAAAACCACTTTTGCTAATATTCTGCGTGATAAATTTATAAATTATGCCGTGCAGCGATTTTTGCTTGTCTGTATCAGAGGATTATTAAGGAGGTAGCTGACGTTAATTAAATAATTTGCTGCTGTACTCGCAAACTACAATTCCTGTTCATCAATAATGTGAGAACCAGACCAGTTATAAACCTAAACATACTTGATTTAATTAAATTAGTTGAAAAGTTTACTGTAGTAGTAGTAATAGAATATGTTTGCGGTCGTAATGATGACAGTAGCGCACACAAAATAGTATCTGTTCCGTGCTCCGGCGCGGTTAGCGCTCACACTACATGCGTACCACGCCCACGCCCAAGCCCAACCAAACTGTGCCCTGGCCCACCTCTTCCAACCAGGCCAGGGCCAGCTAAACTAACCGCCCGGGCGCTGCACGGAGCGATCACACTAGTCAAACGAACCGGGCTTTGGGGGTCAAACGCGCTCGGGCACGGTTCAAAACGACTAGTGTGAGTACATCCATAGATGCGAGAATGGGGCGGGGCTGCACCCACAATTCATATCATTGGTTAATGACAAAGTAATGACACCAACACAGTTTTTCATTTCTACTTCATCGCTGCACTGGTGAGTAGATGAGCTATGTGTTTTGTCTAATTTGATAAAACGTTCATTATGTCATTAATGAGCCAGGAACTTGGTGCTGCTCACCCTCTCCACAGTCACACCATTGACATTATATAAGGAGATGTAAAGTATTATTGTGTAATATTTTTAGATATATTAATATCATGTATGAATCGTATAGCTTAAACTATGCACTCAACCGCATTTCCTGTTTACAGAAGCGTCGACGTCATTACTTGTCATTAGCCAATGAAACCATTTGTGGGCGGGGTGACGCATGTAGCCCCGCCCCGTTCTGCAGGCTGCAGCTGGCTATACTTGATAGATGCTGGTTGGGTTCATTGAACTCGCCCACTAGCAGTGAATCACTGAAATCTTGAAACAGTTATGACATAATTAAGACTCATTGACTGAAATCACGTGACTTTGGCACCTTTTAGTGTTCAATCCTGTTCAGTATCCACACAGTAATTCACAGGAGTTAAAACTGCATTCTACAACCGAATTAACTCAATTCTTGACTGGAAATACAGTTTAATTGCAAAGCATTTTATTTTAATTTAACTTACCATGCCAAAGATACCAAAGTTATTTTTTAATTCAAAACTGACTCCACATACAAATGAATAAAAAAATAGGCATCTGTGTCTAAACACGTTAAAAATCATATAAAATACAGAACATCTGCTGCTCTCATGAATCTGCTGCTGTGTGTTCAGGTCCGTCTCTAAATCTTCTCATCCTCACTTTCTGATCTTCCTGCTTCTTTCCTAAAAGCATCACATCATCATCATCACACTCTTAATATGTGCATGTCAAATCCATAATGATGATGATAAACGTCTCTCACCTGACGTGTGTCTCATGTAGATGTGAAAACCTCCTAACAGACCCAACAGAACCATCAGCTGAAGACACCAGACCAGCACAAACACCACAGACGCTGAACAACACAAACACAGCAGTCAATCAATCAATCAATCAATCAATCAATCAATCAGTCAGTCTGTGTGTAGTTGATATCTGTAGATGAACAGAACTGATCTCACCAGCACAGGGTTGGACTCTAGTGGTCTTCTGTGCGTGACTGACGTGGTTCTTCACGCTGCAGCTGATGTCTCCATCAGTTCCCTCATCCAGATCAATGCTGCTGTTTCCATCCATCAGTGGACCTCCATTCAGAGTCCAGCTGTAGAGGAGCTGATCCCCCTCAGAGGAGCAGGACACCCTCATCACCCCACTGGAGGAGCAGATGATTGACACTTCCACTGAGCCAATAGGAGCTGGAGGGAGGGACACATCACAGTCACATGACAAACACAGGAGAATCTTGTTCTTCCACACGACTCGTACTATTACTGGAGTCTGTAGTGTGTTTACTGTGTGCTACAGGAATAAAAACCCTCACAGAGATTCAACTGATTCATCTGCATGAGAGTGAGATCTTTGGAGAACATGAGATTGTAATGAGTCTGATGAGAGAGCTTCTGTACCTTCAACAATCACTTGAAGATCTCTAGATGTTTCTGTGCCGTCTGAGCTCTCGAGTGTTAATCTGTAATTCCCTGAATCTGCGCTGATCACACGGTTTATTATCAGAGTCCCATTAATGATGGTCACTTCAGTTCTGTTATAAAGATCACATTCCCTCATCCTCATCCTGCCATTCTTTACTCTACAAACTGGATCATCTGCTGTGTTGTTGTTTATTCTCTTTACGATCTTCAGGTCATATTCACTAGTGTCCAGCACCATCATCAGATTGAGTTTGTCTCTCAGAGCTGTGTAACAGGGATCTGGTTGATCAAACCTGCAGAACCGATCTGGACCTGAAGAACAAAACACACACACACACACACACACACACACACACACAGAGTGAAATACACATTCCGTAAAATTAACATGAACTCTAAACCATTTCATTATTTCCATTACTCTATTTCCATTTTTAAATTATGTAAAAGTTTTCATCACAGTTGGCCAATTTTTTTTTTATTTAACATAACCTCTTGTATAATGAATATTATTGTGCATTACATATCATTGTTCAGTAACTAATACTTAATATAAATAAACGACAAAAGGCACGCGTCCCACTACAATTAGCTGCGTTCCAATTCACGGCTGCATCCTTCGCATTTGAAGACCGATTGTGTCACCGCGGCGCAACAAAGACTTTCCCAATTTGAAAGGCATCTTCAAATACGCCATTTGTTTCTCGTGAAACGGAAGCTATAACAGATGGATCCAAAGCAAAAACGCCCTATGAGTGAGTTAGTATCCATTCACTCAAAAACGCTGATTCATTAAGGAACGAAACAAGGTTGTAAACATGGAAATTATTTTATACTTAATTTTAACTTTATCATCTTACGAGGCTCAACTGATAAACAACCGGGCAAACACTGACGCTTCACTTCAGATCAATGCATTGACCAACACTAATGCCTGTCATGTGAAATCCCATTATTAGTTGAAAAAGCATGCTACGACAAAGATGTCGCTTTCATCAGCAGATACGGACATGGCAAAATTATTTACGAATAAAATCACGAATTTATTAATTGACCTAAAGAATCTTTCTCCCACAATTCACTACTCAGTCTCAGTCAATCTGTAACAGAATGATTGTTTCTTATTTATTTACACATTTGTACTGTCAAACTTTTATACAAACGCAATATCACACTCGTAGTCATGCAACATCACTCTATATCAGCACGGCAGCGATTCAGCCGTGGATGCTTTATTACTGATGATAACAGTTAAAAGGTAACTGATATTTCAAACAGTAATACTAATTTGCAACATTAGCAATATTTTTGACTGTCAATTAAATGCTATTTCCATGAAGTATCAATATATATTACATAATAATTTTTAATTCTGAACATATATAAAGTAAGGAATAACTGACAATGGGCCACTAAATTTTAAAAACATTTTTTTCAATAATTCAAAGGACTGCACTACATTTATTCCACATACACCACATTTACCACACCACAAGAAATTATTCAGATGTTTTATTTCAAGACATTTGTCAGGTTTTTGTTCCCATAGCTCTCTTGCGTGTAGAACTAATTTCTTATGCTTTGCATCCCAAGGCTTCATTGCTAATTCCAAAATGTCATTTTAGGGCGAGTATATGAAGACAAATGCAGTTATCAGAGAGAGAGAAAGAGAGAGAGAGAGAGAGAGAGAGTGTGTGTGTGTGTGTGTGTGTGTGTGTGTGAATTACCTGCATCTGTGTGTCTCTCAACAGTGTCTGGCAGCAGCTTCTCTACTAATCGTGAAACTGTAAGTTTATCTGCTTCAAGAACAGCCCTGTTATTACCTCGCTAGTGAGAAACGTCTTGTAGTTTTTTTGGTTGTGAACTATTTTTCAAGAACGTCAACTCCATGAGAGTTCGTCAGTACAGTATGTGTGTGTGAGAAAACAGAATAAAAAAAGAGTGCTTTCTGTAGATGATAATGAAGGTAACTTAGTAGGAAAAACATTTCTATCCTATTAGTCATATTGTTATGCTTGTTCAGTCCCTTTGTGGGTTTTGGTTCAATTGCTTTTGTGAGGACTCTGAAATAACTGAAATAATTTGAAGTGATGTGGAACTGTAAAGTGGGCGACAGAACTTCTTCAAAGCTGTATGTTTACTTAAAAATAATTGCATGCCACATAACAATAGAAATGATAATAAATATGTTCAATAGCTGAAAAGAGACATTGTATTACAACTCTTCAGCACAACTGTTTTAATCATGACATTAGATATTTTGGGAGACATATGATGTTGACATCTGATTCACAGAACTGATCTCACCAGGACAGGGTTTGAGTCTCATGGTCTTCTGTGCGTGACTGACGTGGTTCTTCACGCTGCAGCTGATGTCTCCATCAGTTCCCTCATCCAGATTGATGCTACTGTTTCCAAACATTGGCCCTTGCTTTATTATTTTTCCGTTTAGAATCCAGCTGTAGATGATCTGATCGCCCTCAGATAAGCAGGACACTGACCTCTGATTGGAGGAGCAGCTGGTTGAAACTTCCAATGAGCCAATAGGAGCTGGAGGGAGGGACACATGACAGTCACATGACACAGAGATGTAATTGCATGAGAGTGAGATCTTTGGAGAACATGAGATTGAATGAGTCTGATGAAAGAGTTTCTGTACCTTCAATATTAACGGGAAGATATTTTTTAAAAGTTCTTGAGCCATCTGAGTGATAGAGTTCTAATCGGTAATTCCCTGAATCTGCTCTGATCACGCGGTTTATTATCAGAGTCCCATTTTCAAAGATGAACTCAGATCTGTTTCTGATGGATTCATGTTTTTTCTCTTTATTGTTCTTTATTCTAAAAACTTCCAGTTCTCTGCTATCGAGTAACTCCTTATACAAATGCAGCTCTTGATCTTGTGCGTCCAGCACCATCAGCAGATTGAGTTTGTCTCCCAGAGCTGCGTAACAGGGATCAGACTGATTAAAACTGCAGAACCGATCCGGGCCTGAAGGAAAAAACACAAACAAACACTATTCAATTACTAGCCCATTTAGCTACACAACCTAGTGGCAAAGAATGAATTTGCATTTTCATTCAGACCAACGCGAAAAGACCAACAAGTGGGTGGGCAAAATGCTAATGTTTCATGTTGATGTCAACATGAAACGGTTTGGGAATCTTTTAAAAACGACTCGCTTCAATTATTCAGAGTCGACTCTTTCTTTTGAGAGACAATAACTTTATACACGGTGTACTTTCAGTTTTCTTTGCAAGATGTTTTCATTCACTTAGAGCTGTGTTACACACTGCATGAAAGGTAGCCTAATTTTCAAAAATCCATAATAGGGGCACTTTAAGTTACTGGCCATTCAGAACTTTACAAACCATTACAAAAATATGAGAAAAAAATCACTGCTTAGATAAAATTTTATATACCATAAAAACAATGTAAAATATAAATAAAAACAAAATTTAAAAAATCAGCAATTATTTTGTTATAACTTCCAAATATATTTCACTCCAAAATCGACATTTAAATTTAAATGCACTCTACGAAAAGTCCGTAAAAATAGGCCGCAATGTATCCTATACCCTAATATGCAGGTTTTTACCTGTTCTTTACAGTTGCACAAAAAGTGCCACACCTCTGACATCTCTCAAGTTTTGCAGCCCGAATGCATAAATCATATTCAAGTTCAAGGTGACAGTCCAAAAGCAGTGAATACAGACACAAGTTCACTTCAAGAACAACCTGATTTTGCATTGTATTTGACCAAGACTGAGGTGAGACCCTTGAACAAGACACCAAACCCCCAACTGTTCCCGGGCGCTGCAGCAAATGGCTGCCCACTGCTCTGGGTGTGTGTTCACGGTGTGTGTATGGTTTAAACAGTGACAGGACGCATGTAAAGTGACAGAGTGTCTGTTAAAGACTCATTCATGATAAAGTAGCTTGTCCCAAACATCGTCTACTATTCTACTACATACTCAAAATGTTGTAGGTACTGCTTCACAAAATGTGCACGTACTTTTATGATGTAGTATAAGAAGGTGAATTGGGATGCAGCATCTATGAGAAGTGCGGACTCAAATGCACATGTACATCTATCCGCTGAAATTGATCTAAAAAGACTACATACAGACTTATGGGTCTTAAACAGTCTCTGTTTTACTATGATGTAAACACTGACATGTTATAATAATCCACTAACACACACAGTCAAGATCAGAAAACTCTAATGCTAGATCACTACAGACTCTCAATGTACTATTACATTCATCAGAGATTCATCAGTGATTGATCAGAATCATAAGATGAGTTTGATGTGAAAGTGACTCACATGCAGCAGTTTGCAGCAGCAGCAGCAGTCCAAAGATGAGCATAATTTCACTAAAGTCCAGTTTCCAGAAGAGTCCAATCCCAGCAGAAGAGAGTCAGATCGAGTCTCACTGACAGACAGCAGCTCTACTGACACATCAGGAAATTACACGACTTTAACAAAGAAAGAAGAAAGAGGAAGTTTTTCAGAGATGGCCAATGTGGGTCAACAGCTCCTACTTAAATACACACAAAAAAAGACTGAAACTAGCAGAAAGATATAACAAGAAGAATCACTTCTCGGTCACAAAAAAATATTGTAAAGAGTGCAAGAGCTACTCTCTGAACGTTTAGATTCACACCTGAGTCTCAGTGGCAATGCACTGTAAAATCAGTGAAACCCAGTGAAAACCTTACTTAATAACTTTAACGCTATCTATATTCACATTTCTGAAGCAATAGTTTGTTTATCAAGATTTGGCCAAATATATTACGAAGATAAATATAATACTAAACATTCCAGATAGGTCTACTATTAAATATGAGGTGTCTGTGTTCTTCAGTAATAGCTGCACTTATTTATTTATAAAAAAATAAGAAATAAAGATTTCTGTCTGGATTTAGTTTTTATACGTTTGTTTTTTAAATGTCTGTTTAAATTTTAACAGTGATATTGTGACTTTTGACAGGAAATACAGTTCCGTTTAAAATATATATTTTTTTATTTAACTTGATACCAAAGTTAATTTCAATTTCAACATGAATTCCATTTACAGTATTGTTTATCCATATTCTATAATAACTAAGACTAAGGTCTTATGAATAAAAAACGCAAAAGTGTGGCTAAACATGTTAAAAATCATAGAAAAAATTCAGAAGATCTGCTGCTCTCATGAATCTTCTGCTGTGTGTTCAGGTCCGTCTCTAAATCTTCTCATCCTCACTTTCTGATCTTCCTGCTTCTTTCCTAAAAGCATCACATCATCATCATCATCATCACACTCTTAATATCTGCATGTCAAATCCATAATGATGATGATAAACGTCTCTCACCTGACGTGTGTCTCATGTAGATGTGAAAACCTCCTAACAGACCCAACAGAACCATCAGCTGAAGACACCAGACCAGCACAAACACCACAGACACTGAACACACTGAACAACAACAATTAGACACAAAACAAAACCCATCCTTCATGTTTCCAGGAGTGTGTTTGTTAAACTCGTACCACATTCTGATGTCTGTGTGCTGCTGGTTATTGCAGAGGTCACACTAGAGGTCAAAC